ATAGAAGCCAAGCATAGTGATGCACACCTTTATACCCAGCACTCAGGAGGCAGAGGCAGGTGGATCTCTGTGAGTTCAAGGCCAGCCTGGTCTGCACAGTCAGACACACACACACGCACAAAAAGAGGGACAGTATGGTGACAGGAGAGAATGGCTGCCATGCCAAGATGAGAGGCTGCAGCAGATTCCTTAGGAAGACACCAACCTGACCAACATGTTATTTTAGACACCTGTTTTCCAGAAATGCAAAAGAAAACATGGCTATACATTAAGTCACCCCGTGTGTGGTACATTGTTATTCTCTGGCCAACTCCTGTACCAGCTGACTAGGTGTGAACAAAGATGCCACGCTGCTGATGACCTGTATGTCATCGTGTGTGTGAATTCTCATCTCCCTCTAGCATTCCCTCGGGTAAGTGTCCCGCTTGGACACAATGGTCCAGGACATTGACATTGACCCCTGGAGGCTCAGCTGGCACATGACACTGCATGCCTGTTGGAGACCAGCTCCGACTTGTTGAACGGTTCTTAGGGGGAGGAGTAGGAATGAAGAAATGTTAGAAGTATAGACGGAGGCGACGAGAAAGACAGAGACACGGGATAGATACAGAACACCCAGCCACCTCCACTTTTATTCTAATGGGCTTTTTATACACTACCAAGGGGAGAGGCAAAAGACCTTCCCCTTTCAAGATCAAAGCACAAGGTACAGCCAAGTGTAGACCCTTCAAAACACCTGGTAACCACACCCCTGGCAAATCATCAAATTATGCAGCCCTGCTGGGTAAAGCAAGCTCAGATTCTCTGACCTTGAGCAAGGCCTTACTAGGGAGCCTCTGTGGGCCCCCACACATGCCACAGGTTGTCAGACTCTTTTCTGGTTGGGTTTTTTGTTATTATTATTTTGTTTGTTTTTCTTTTTTCCTTCTTTCTTTTAATTTTATGTGCACATTTGCCTGGGTGAGGGTGTCAGATCCCCTGGAACTGGAGTTACAGACAGTTGTGAGCTGCCACGTGGGTGCTGGGAATTGAACTGGGCACAGTGTGATGGCGGGAAGCTGTGGGCAGGAAGACAGCACCAACCAGAAACCAAATCAGTCGGCACCTGAGACGTGAACTTTCAGTTCCCAGAACAGTGAGAAACGAACGTCTGTTAAGTTACCCAATCATGTACTTTACTCAGAAAAGACTAAGAACTACTCATAACAGCTTGTCAGCCTGGCCCTGTGGTCTGAGCCTGTAATCCCTGCCCTCGGGAGCTGAAGCAGGAGGGTTGTCAGTTTAAGGCCAGCCCAGAGAATAAACAAACAAAAAAATAACTCCTTTTGCTTTATGGATGGATGCCACCATTCTCTCCCTCTCTCTCTTCTTCTTCTCTCCCTCCCTCCCTCCCGCCTCCCTGTTTTTGTTGTTGCTATTTGTTTGTTTGTTTGTTTGTTTGTTTTGAGAAAGGGTCTCTTGTGGCCCCAGCTCCTTGAACTAACTCCTGACCCGCCTGCTTCAGCTTCCATGCGTCATCATACCCAGGCCCGTCACTCTTGTAACTTTTAGCGGCAGCCCAGTTTGCAAGGTCACTCCCTCCCTCCTTTCCTATGGGGTGGACTTGGTTTGGTTTGGCTGAGAAGTGGTTGTTTTGAACTCTATCTTCTTGCTTCCTGAGTGCTGGAACTCCAATAGTGCACCACCACACGTAGCTTCCTGGGCCATTCTCGAGTTTTAACCTTCTTTGGAACAGCCTTTCCTACATGCTTGACTTGGCTTTCAGTTGGAGTTGGGATGTTTCAAGCCTGAAACACGCCTGGCTTGAGGCTCACTCACCTTGCATCCTTTGGTGAATGGAGGCCCCCTAATGACAGCTGTTCAGGCCGTTGTTCTGGGCCACAGTTGACCTGAGACAGCTCCCAGCCATCTGCAGACCTCTGCCCTCAGAGTTCTGAGAAGCAGGCTTCCACTGCTAGGTCCTCAGCCCAAAGATACAACCATGAGCTGAGCCTCTGTTGCTGGCCACATGGCCGGATGTGACGCCTTCTCCTTGGTGGCACTTTCCCTGGGAAAAGACATGCAGGGTTGCTATGAGTTCCAAGGCAGCCAAGACATGAACCTGTGAGTGGTGGCACATGTCTGGGACCACATTCGCAAAACAGAGGCAGAAGGATCACTGTGATTTCTAGATGAAGCAGGGCTATTAGCAAAATTCTGTGTCCAAAAAAAAAAAAAAAAAAAAAAAAGCAGGGCTGGGTGGGTGGCATATGTGAGCCCTAGATTCAATTCCTATTATCACCAAAACAAACTTTGAGCCAGGCGTTATGGGGCAAGCCTGTTCTCCTAGTACTTGTGAGACAGAGGCAGGAGGATCACCTCAAGCTTGAACCTAGCCTGCTCTGCCCCTGAAGCTCCAGGCCAGCCAGGGCTATACAGAGAAACTCTGCCTTAGACAAAAGCTGTAATGAAAGGATAAACTCCAAGAGCTGGCATATCAGACTTAATCAGAATAACACCACGTGGGAGCTGAGTCAGAGGAACTCCCAGGCTGCAGGAATTGCTGGTTCCTCCTTGCCCCAGCAAGGCAGCAGACCAGCACAGGCAGAAAGCTGCTGCCCAGGTGTGCAAAGGCTAAAGGAAGCCAAACTGTCCTGCTGGAGGGGCCAACCCTTCACCCGGGCTGGAGGGGTCTGAGGTGTGCCCCAGCAGCTGGGGTGGCCTGATACCCCATCTGTGCCAAACTGAGTTGGCTGTCGGACTTGGAAACCCACCAGGGGTCACAGGCACCTCCTTATCCTCAGGGATGCAGGTCCTGGGGAGGGGACTGAGACCCATCTCTGGTGCTGTGCCCTGTGCTGTGGTGTGTGCATGGCCCCTGAAGCTTCCTCCTTCTCCCTCCACCTCCTCTGTTCATCACTTCCTTTCGTTCTCTGATGTTTGAATTGGACCCCCACCCCCACCCCAACTTCTCTCTCAGGAGTTCTGGTTCTGCAGGCTGCTGGGCACTGGACCCCAGCAGGATGAAGGCAGGAATGTGTCCTGGGCAGGGCATCCTCACAGACAGGGAACAACATGAGACATGAGGAAAGCTCTGAATGGCACTTACATGGCTGTTCCCTGGATGGATTCCAGGGGTGGAATGAGGGGGTTCTCAGTCAAGGAGGCCTTGTAATTCAGAGCTAAAACTGGGAATGCCATGGAGATCAGAGGACAATTTGTGGAGTTGATTCTCTCCTTTCCATCAAGTGGGTTCTGGGGATTGAACTCAGGTGATCAGGCTTAGCACCTTTACCCACTGATTTACCCTCCTGGACTTGTTTTGTGAGTTAGGATCTCCCTATGTAGCCAGTGCTGATCTCCAATTAATGATTCTCCTGCCTGAGCCTCATGAGTGCTGGGATTATAGGCATGTGCTAGCATGATCAGCAAATACATGTTATTATTATTATGATTATTATGATTTTGAGACAGGGACTCATTGTGTATCCCTGGCTGGCTTGGAACTTACTAGGTAGACTAGGCTGGTCGCAAACCCACAGAGATCTACCTGCCTTTGCCTCCTAAGTACTGGGATTAAAGGTGTATGTATCTGGCAAATACATAATTTTCTAATAATGGGCTTTTAACCACATGTAAGTCATCAGCTCTCAGCTAAAAAGCAGTTCCTTCTCAGATTCTGGCTCTGCAGGCACCTTGATCTTGGATCTCCAGCTTTCAAGTAAGGTGAGAATGAATGCTTGTTACAAACCACCCAGTTCACAGTTGGTTGGTTGGTTAGTTCGTTGGTTGGTTGGTTGGTTTTAGTTATGTCTTAGGGTTTCTATTGCTATGATGAAATACTATAACCAAAAAAACAAGTCGGGGAGGAAAGGGTTTATTTGGCTTACACTTCTTCATTGCTGTTCATCACCGAAGAAAATCAGGACAGGAACTTACACAGGGTAGGATCCTGGAGGCAAGAGCTGGTGCAGAGGCCAGGCAAGGACTGCTCACTGGCTTACTTCCCATGGCTTGCACAGCCTGCTTTCTTATAGAACCCAGGACCTCTCCCATGGGTTGGGCCCTCCCTAATTGATCACTAATTGAAAATGCCTTACAGCTGGATCTCAAGGAGGCCGTTCCTCAACTGAGGATCCTTTTCTCTGATGATTCTAGTTTGTGTCAAGTTGACCCACAAAACCAGCCAGTACAGGTTATTCAAGAAAGGGTTTCTCTCTATAACAATCTTGGCTCCCTTTTAGCCCAGGCTGACCTCAAACTCACAGAGATCCTCCTGCCTCTGCATCCCGAGTGCTGGGATTAAAGGCGTGCACCACCATCACCTGGCCAGAGTGCTTTGTTAAAGATCCTGCCCCCTCCAAACACCTTCACACTGGGGACAGGTTCAACATGTGCATATTGGGGTGACACAGACACTCCAAGCAGTCACCTACGTGGCAGGCCTGGAGACAGTTTTGGGGGATGAGAGCCAGGCGGGAAGTGGGAGACAGCCGACTGACTGGTGGGTGTCTGGGAAGCTGGGGGAGAGAGAGTAATTTGAACAGGGTGTGGGAGGTGGGAAGGCTGGGGAGGGCTAGGGCAGCACTGAGGCGAAGAATCTGGACTTGGCCCAGTTTGTTGCAAGAAAGCCATTACACAAAGCATACCTGCATCCTGCCCCATTTCAGGCCCCACTTTGCAACTTGTTTCTTGTGTAACTGCCTCAGAGAGGAAATTGCATGCTGGGAAGACATGAGTGACACACCACTTTCCCCCAAAGTTATCACGGCCACTTGGCTGTGGTGCAATCGATACTGCCCACTCTCTGGAAGGGACAGCTGAAGTAGGACGGCCATCTGGTCGCTTCCGGTTAAATGTCTCTTCAACTTTTGTTCCTGAGACCCTAGGCTCAGACATAACAAAGGGATTGAAAGATTGATGGACTGAAGCATTAGTCATCAGGCGATGAGTAACTCCAAGAAGAACTGAAGCAATTTTTAGCTTGGGTTCAGAAAGGCAGCGAGTTCTAAGAACAAAAGGCGTGTTCTGAGCCTGGGAGGAACGCCAGCGCTGTCCATCAAAGCCCAGGTGGTCCAGCACCTGTTCCATCCTCCATCCTGCAGAAGTCAGGGACCCAGCATGATTGGCTTCCTCAGGGGAAACTTGTCACTGTGGAGAGGTGGGTACAACTGACTTCTGGGGCAATCCCCTGCTATGGGCCTCAGGAATATATTACAAGAACTCAGCTGGTTATGGCAAAGCCACTACCTGAAAGGATCAAGGAATTCCTTCAGAGGAAGCCAAATTCCAAGGAGCTTTTGGTGTTATTTGACTTGTTATATATCAGCTGTCTTCTGTTATGAATATCATGTGTGCCTTCATAGTTTTCCCAACTGATTTTTTCCTAAGAATTGCTAACATTGTGGACTGATCACTCTTTGGACGTATACATTCGAGGTATTTGGAGAACAGCCTCAGGAAAGGCTTCCTCCCCCCAGCCCATCTGTTTCTCCCCTTTCAGCACTGGAATCGGAGATCTCCCTTAGCCACTTTCAAGTACTAACAGAAATAACAGTCCAAACCACCATATAATAAGTCTCCTGATTTAAGGTAAATTCCACAGAGACACAGCCTAGGTCAGGTGGACCTTAAGTAATAGCTTTGCACAATTTAGCTCAGACCCTCCTTTCTTACAGCCTTACTAACTTTATAGACTCCTAACCTCTTACCTAACCACTCCTAGGAATATAGATTGAGCACATAAATTCCCTTTTTGATACACTAACTGATATTAGCTCTCAGCTGACCTCCTCCCTTAACCACTCCATTTTCAGGTCGTAAAAGAAAAGCCTGACAATCACTGTCTGAGGAAACACTTACCTGCCTTTATGACCTTGCAGGAATTCAGGCCTGGTGACCTGGCTGGAGGGGAGGATTGTGATTGTTTGGGTATATAACTGTAAAACTAGAGACTGAGGAGGGAATTAAAGCAAGTGGACTAAAGAGCTCGGTGTACTTAGATTCTTTTCCCGAAAATAATTCTCACTGTTCATAGTTTCTCTCCTGAGCCCCTGGGAAGTATATTATTAAGGCTAGTCCTTTTAATAGTATACAAGAGTCTCCCTACCCCTGCCACTAGACATGGAGTGAGCCAACTTTCTTACTTCAGCCTGTCTCCAGGTCATGGTGTATCTTCATAGCAAAGGAAACCCTAACTAAGACAACCCTCAAGTCCCCTTGAGAGCTATCCACCACGTGCAGGGGGTTCAGGGCATGTAGGAGGCCGGCCTGCCTAATAAGAGAGGAGGGCAAAGGCTGTCTACTCCCGGTCACTCTTCTCTCCTTCCCTCTGTCATTCTACCCTCCCTTTCTCTCTACCCTCCCTCCTCCTTCCCCCTTCTCTCTTTTTTTTTTCCCTGAGACTGGGTCTCACTCTGTAGACCAGGCCAGCCTGGAATTCACGGCAGTCCTTGTTTACAGGTATAGGTCACCATGCCCAGCTCCCCAGCTCCTTTCACAAGATCAGGTGAACCATGACATTGTCAGGACCAGAACTATGAAATGATTGAGTGGTGGACACTTTAATAGTGACCTTTCTTCTGTCCTCACTCTCCCTTGTCACCTCATTCATGACCCAGAAAGCCATCCTCTCCCGCTGTGTTCCTGGAGACAAGTCAAGCTGTTTCTCCAGCTGGGGCCCACCCAGTGCCACCTCTTCCTTGACCCTATCCTTCTCCAGAGGCCCCCACCAAATCTAACCTGGACTTATCTAAAGTGTCAGACCCCTGGATGTTCCCACAGGTCTCCACACTGGTCCTGACTGGAGGGCACCTAGCCAGCCCTTCTGTCCTCAGCTGCACTCAGGCTTTATGCCTCTTACCACCTCTGCACACCCTGCCGCAGGGTTCCCTCTGTCCCTACCCCAACTTGCCCTTGGGTAAACTGTGGGAGCCCACAGAGGTTTCCTAGTGAGATCTGAGCTTGCTTTACCCAGAAGAACTGCATAAGAGGATGAAGGGACCATGGGCTTGGGTACCAGGTGTTTGGAAGGGTCTATATTTGGTTGTATCTAGCAAGGGGGAGGACTTTTGCCTTGCCCCTTGGCATTGTTATAAAAAGCCCTTTTGAATAAAGTCCTGGGCCAGTGGAGAAGCATCCAGGCCCTTCTGAGGCTATTCTGTGTTTCTATCTTTCTCTCTCCCCTCTATATTTTCTATCTAAATCTCTATCCCTCACTCCTCAAGAGTACCCAGGCAAAGGTGGGGGCTGGTCCCCCAACAAATGGTGCCCAAACAGGGAGCAGGGGCTTGGTGAAAGGAGAGAGGGGGCATCATGGGCATGAGGAGGCATGTGAATAAGGAATTGAAAAATAAAGGTGATGGTATTTTATTCTCTGGAGTGAAAGTGAAGTGGCTGAAAGATGCCCAAGTGAGGCTGCAGCGTATCTCTCTCTCTGTTTCTCTCTTTCTTAATCTCTAGCTACTAAATTCGGTTTTAAAATGGTAGTATAAGTAAGTCATAGAAATGTAGACTTAGTTATATTCGGGTCGAATAAGCTTTAGGCAAAAGGATATTGTGTAGGTTTAGGTATATTAGGGTAGAATAAGACTTAGGTATAATAGTAATTTAGAGTAGAGTAGTTCCCCCCACCCCAGCACAAGTGGAACCTGGGATGCAGAAAGCAGCGTCCATGGCAGACTGTGAACTTGGCAGTCTGGGTGGCGTCAGAAGCTCCAGAAGCCACCAACAATGGTGGACACCAGAGCCAGCACAAGTGGCAGCAGCTGAGCAGCAGCTGCTGACACCCATAGGGCATCGGCGCAGCGCAGGTGGTGGATATCTGAGAGCCAGCGCAAGCAGTGAGGTTCCGTGTGTTTTCTGCTGTGAGGAGCCCTGGTGAGGAGAATGCAGTCCGTTAGGGTGCTTGTGAAAGCCTGACTGACGTAGCTTGAGGATACACTCAACCTTGACAAGCCAAGCAGAGACACCCTGCTGTGAGAGAGGCAAACAGCAGGCAGTGGCTTAGAGTGCAGGAGAGAGAATGGACCCCAGCGGACAGAGCAGGTCTGTCTCCCTGAGCCACAGTCCCTGGTGCCTGGAGCCCAGCAGAGATGTCGAAGGAGAAGCAGCCAGAGGAGCAGCTGAGATGCACTGGAGCCCAGGGAGCTGTGGAGGTGAGGGCCATGCTCCAGGCTGAACAGCCAGACCATGGCTCTGCCAGAACTGCTGAGACTGATGTAGCCCAAGCTCCTAGCATCAGAGTGTGGCTGGAACCATGGAGTTCAGCCATGCAAGCAGGACAGCACTCTCAGAGGAGAGACGCCCCAGCAAAGCAGGTAATGGGCAGCAGCATTTGGCCATGCAAATGAGGCAGAGCACAGAATTTGAGGACCACCAGCAGAGCAGGTAACAGCCAGGGTGCAGCAGCCATGACTGGCCATGGCTGGGTTTCCTCCCGACTCTGGTGCTGAGAGCAGTGGCTCAAAGCAGCAGGGGCGGCCTCTTGAGTCCATGTAGCATGCAACAGTTGAAAGCCCTCAGGGGCTCAGGATACAGAGGCCCTGGGAATGTCCAGTTACAAGAGGCACAGACAGACCAGGACTGTGAAAATTGTAAAAGCCTGAACACAGCTAGCAGCTAAAGCCACGCAGTTTCTGTTTGCTGGCTGTAAGGCAGACTTTTGAAAGGACTCTGCCCCAGCCAGCTAGTAGCTTTTGCCCTGGAGCAAAAATGGCTTTAGGGGAAGGCAACAGACTACAAAGCACAGCTGTAGCAGAGAGTGAAAGTTTAAGAGAGGCTTGCTGAACTGAAAAAAAGTTTCAGTTATGGGACTCCTTATATTTGGAGCTGCTTGCTTTACAGTCATTATGACTCTGATAGCTATGCAAAGATTTTTTTTTTTTTTTTCGGTTTTTCGAGACAGGGTTTCTCTGTGTAGCTTTGTGCCTTTCCTGGGACTCACTTGGTAGCCCAGGCTGGCCTCGAACTCACAGAGATCCGCCTGGCTCTGCCTCCCGAGTGCTGGGATTAAAGGCGTGCGCCACCACCGCCCGGCAACTATGCAAAGATTTAAGAACAGTTGACAGGACGTGCCCTGATTTTGAGTGCTCAGAAGAACTTTAAGATTGATGTCAGAAAGCTTTCTGTAACTTTAAGACTGGTGATAGAACTGTGTTTTTGAGCTTTTCAGACTTAAGAAATGAGATGGACAGGAGTGATTTAATTGCAATGGGACAATTTTGACTTTACCTACACATATAGACTCTATTACTGTGGTGATTCACGAACAGTTCTGTGTTAAAAATGGAACTGCGCCGGGCGGTGGTGGCGCACGCCTTTAATCCCAGCACTCGGGAGGCAGAGCCAGGTGGATCTCTGTGAGTTCGAGGCCAGCCTGGTCTCCAAAGCGAGTACCAGGAAAGGCGCAAAGCTACACAGAGAAACCCTGTCTCGAAAAACCAAAAAAAAAAAAAAAAAAAAAAAAAAAAAAAAAAAAAATGGAACTGCTTTTGGTACTGGTTTTGTGTTTAGAATGAAACTGTTTAAACAGAAGTTTGGTTTTTTTCTCAAGCTCAAGATGCAGCTTAAAAAATTATAAAGAAAATGGGGAGTTAATATTCTTCATTTTAAGCTGGGCGGTGGTGGTACATGCCTTTAATCCCAGCACTTGGGAGGTAGAGGCAGGTGGATCTAGGGAGTTTGAGGCCAGCCTGGTCTACAAAGTGAGATCCAGGTCAGCCAGGACTGTTACACAGAGAAATCTTTTCTCAAGAAAAAAAAAAAAAAAAACTCAGTCTATTTAATTTAATTTTTTTAAATTTTTTTTGTTACTTGAGTGGATTAATGTTTAACTTGTGTTAAAGTACCCTATGTTTTGTATAGTTCTATTAAGAAATGGCTTTTGGATGTTTGATAAAGTTTTTAAAGTGTTAATGGTTATATTGAGAGTATTGCTTTTGGATGTAGGTTTGTAGGAATTGTAATTGTGTATAGTAATATTTATGTTAGAGTTATTATGTTAACCTGTTGTATTCAAGTTTGATGCACATGCGTCAGAAGTTTATCCTGTTTTGTTAGCAAGAAATGCAAGTGGTTCTATTTTTTTTTTTTTTTTTTTTTGGTTTTTTGAGACAGGGTTTCTCTGTGTAGCTTTGCACCTTTCCTGGAACTCGCTTTGTAGACCAGGCTGACCTCAAACTCACAGTGATTCGCCTGGCTCTGCCTCCCAAGTGCTGGGATTAAAGGTGTGCGCCACCACCGCCTGGCTTGCAAGTGGTTCTATTAAGAGATTGCTTTAAAGTGTATTTTTGCTAAAGTTTTTAAAGTGTTAATGATTTGCTTTTGTATTTTTTTGTTTTTTGTTTTTTGAGACAGGGTTTCTCTGTGTAGCTTTGGTGCCTGTCCTGGATCTCACTCTGTAGACCAGGCTGGCCTCGAACTCACAGAGATTTGCTTGTACCCAGTTCTTTGTTGTTTATTCATTTATAAAATGTGCTCATGTTACTATACTCAGTTATTTGTTTGTTTGTTTATAAAATGTGCCCACAAATCAAGTGGTTCATGCCTGTAATCCCAGGATTTGGGAAGCTGAGGCAGGAGAATTGCCACAAGTTTGAGGTCAGCGTAGGCTACATAGTGAGTATCTGGCTAACCAGAGCTACATAGTGAGATCCTGTTCATAAAAGAAAAAAAATGTGGTGGAACCTCATCTTTAATCTCAGCACTCAGGAGGAAGAGACAAGCAGATCTTTGTGAGTTCAGGGCAGGCTTGGTCCACAGAGCTGGTTCTAGGACAGGCAGGGTAAATAATCAATTCTGTTAAAAAAAAGGAGAGAGGGAGGGAGAGGGGAGACAAAGAGAAAGGGGGCAGGGAAAAATGCAGAATATTATCCAAACTGGGCAAAGATGTGTTACATTTGTTTATGCTGCAGCGTATTACTTTGACTGTGTAAAGGTGTGCTACTCTCGTTTATGCTGCGCTTAATTACGTAAAGATGTATTGCATTTGTTAGTGCTGCATTTCTTCAATTATGTAAAGATGTGCTGCATTTGTTTCACCTTGCCTGCCTAAGGCACCTGACTGGTCTAATCAAAAGCTGAGTGGCCAATAACTAGGCAGAAGAAAGGATCGGCGGGGCTGGCAGGGAGAGAGAATGAATAGGAGGGGGAAAAAAAAAAGCCCCCTAGCCTCAGGAGGAACGAGAAGAAAGATGAGAAAAGGAGGAGGTAAGAACTAGGTAGCCCCTCTCAGGGCAAGAGGCCAGGCAGCCGCCAGCCAGCAGAGGCGAGAAGCAATGAAGGTAAGATATACAGAGGAAAGAAAAGTAAGAAGCCCCAAGGCATAAAGGTAGATGAAGAGAAACAGGTTAATTTAAGTTAAAAGAGCTGGCCAGAAAACAAGCCTAAGCCAGGTGGAGCATCCAACACTAATACGTCTCTGCGTCATGATTGGGGGGCTGGCTGGTGGCCCTAAAGAAAGCCTGCCACTCCAGGAAGCTGGGAGGGTCGGCAGTGGCAAAGGCTGGAGTCCGTGACTCATGTGGCACTTGGGGTGCTTCCTTCATCCTGGTGTGCCTCTGCTCCTCAGAACCTGAAAGCGAACGTCTTTCCTGTGCTTCTTGGTGACTGTCACTGGGCACTCGGCAGGGTGCCAGGTGTGTTCTCACCTTCATCTTCAGGAGGAGCAGCAGCTGCCACATGTCCACTATGCCTGCTGGCCAAGAGCTTGGTGGGAGCCGGGTGTTCTGCTCAGAGGTGCCTTGCCCAGTCCCCAGGATCTCCAGTAGATGCAGGAGATCATGGCACAGGTTCTGGCAACTTCTGCAGGCTCACAAGAGACAAGCCCAGTTACCTTTCTTCCTCCAGCTTGAGTTTGTTTTCCTTCATTTTGTTTACGGAAACACGTTCTCCTGTGGTAGCCTGGGCTGGCCTGAACTTGAGAATCCTCCAGCCTTAGCCTCCCTGCTGCTGGAACCACAGACTCAGCTGCATTGTGCTTTTAGACAAAACTCTGGCTTGGCTCAGGTTTCACTTATGGAGACACAGTATTTGGTTGGGGAGTTGATCAAATAACAGAATTCCCTCCAAGGCCCTGACCATTGGCTGTGCAAACCTGTCTCATGGCTGCAACCTCAGGCTATCCTGACCTCTCAGGTCCTAGCGACAGCCACAGCTTCAGACGGAAGTCAGCTGCCAGTTTGTGCTTGACAAGCTGCAGGAGCTCTGTGGGAATGGCGCCTTGTTGGGATGTGCTGTGTCCCCAGAGTGCCTGGCTCTGTGCCCTGACTGGGTGAGGACAGGCTCCTTGGTGTCCTAGAGAGCATGCTGGCCTGTGGTACTGAGAGCTGCCGTGAGCTGCCAGGGCTACCTCTCCAGCTCTCTGGAGTCACGTTCTGATGCTGGCTCTGTGTGTGTGTGTGTGTGTGTGTGTGTGTGTGTGTGTTGGGGGTTAGGGAACTTCCCTTCCCTAGAGCTGAAAGTAAAGGCCTTTTCTAGGCTAGCTTCCTGAGAAAGCTGGGAGGCTAAGGCTGGAGGTACCATGGTAACTAGCCCATCAGCAAGGCACCTGCCACAGAAAGCTCATGACCCCTTCTGGACCCTCCCCAGGGCTGCTAGAGTCCACCCAGTGGGCTATAAAGTCAGTCAGACTCAGCATTAGGTTCTGTCTAGGTGTCCTGGTCCATGACTATCATTGCCAAACTTTGGAGACTGAGGCAGGGATCTAAGTTTGAAGCCTGCCTGGATTATTATATGGGGAGATTCTGCCACAAACCAACCCAATCCACCAGGGAATGTCCTAAGGCAAAGCGGTGGGTGGGACAGGTACTGCTTCCTGGCTAAGGAGAACCTGCTTTGGGACTGAGAGGGATACACTATTTAGTCTTTGGTCTTCTGGGGTCATACTGCAGTCTGGGCACACTCAAGTCCACATCACTCCAGAGAAGGCTCAACACAGTGTAGCAATTGGCCTGAGGCTGTGCCATGCTGCCTGAGAAGAAAGAGAAAAGGAGGGAACACAAACCCTGTGTAGGGGCACTTGCTCGCAGACACTCTGTGCCAGGGAGCTTCCGTCCACATTTGATTCCCAAATCCTCCAAAAGACCCACAGAGGAGGTAAGCCTGGGCAGGAAAACCGAGGCTCAGCTCTGGGCTCCACACACTGCCCATCTGAAGGTGTCCTGCAGACCAGAATCTCAGAGCTGCCTATGGCCCCCTGGGTTAGGGATGGGAAGACACAGGAGCTCTGGGCCACCTTTTATTCTTCTTCTAACAGTGACAATGGCCACCATTCGAGATTCTGTAAGGATTCTGTCCTTAATTACATCATCAGCCTGCAACGGCATCCCAGCCTAAAAAGCAGGTGGGCCCTCTGTGTGTCCCTCTCTCTCTTTTCTACTCCTTCCTTCCGTCTGTCCGCTCCTTCCTTCTGTCTGGATCTCCTTCTTCTCTTTCTGCTCTCTCTCTGTCTCTCCCTCCCTCCCTCTCCCTCCCTCTTTCCCTCTCTCTCTTTTTCTCTCCCCCCTCCCAATAAAGCTCTAAAAAGATAACCATGGCTGTGATTCTTCCAACCAGCATTCTCCTCTGCCAGCATGGCCGCTGCGGGCGGTGGCCAGCCATGAGGAGCAGCAGCGCCACAGCATAACCAACATTGGTGCCAAAACCCGGGATAGACCACCGAGGACCTGCTGACTGCTGCCGCTTCCCACCTCCTCCCCCATCCAGCGAGACCGCGAGACCGCAAGCGCGTGCGTTCCTGGCCTCCGCTGGACCCCTACACAGCTTCCACTACTCCTACTGCCATGATTCTTCTGATTCTTCACAGTGAGTCTGCAGTTCTCATGGCTGTAGTCTGAGTTATATTCTTTGTGATGGACACCCCGGGGGTTGTCCTCGGGCTGTACTGGCAACGGCAGGCACATTTTCGCTCCTGACGAGGGGTTCAATGCTGTCTCGGGTCTACCGGGTGGACCAACTGCAGTGCAGCCACAGCCCTTCCCATCCCTTGACGAAGAGGATGGCGAACTTGAGCTGATTCTTAGATCTCTCTTCACTCTCGGGGACGCCCGAGATTGGAGTCTAATCCCGGTTTGTTATTTTAATTTTTTATTTTTCTCTTGGCTACAGCCATGAGACAAAGGGGCGGATACATTTACCACCTACATTGGTGGATGGGACAGGCACCGGTAAACCTGGCTGCATAACAGAGTCGCAGGAACTTCTGCCAGTGAGCAGGCAAATAAGAGTTACTTTATCTCTAAGCTTTCTGCTAAAGCACTAAACCCTTCTCCTTCCCCACTTCTGCGTCTGCCATGTGCAACCTTTTCTGTCTGACTTCCGCCAGCAGTGGGCGGGCTCAAATGGGCGGGCTTGGGTGGTTTCTACGACTTGCCCTAACTCACCTTAACTCTACCCACTCATTCTCACGTGCATATAGACAGGGCCCTGATCTTTGCCTTGTCCCTAATTCCAAAAAATAAATTCTCATGCACCACAAGCTTTTCTCTTCCCAGTTCCCTGTTCTAACTCACTGTTCAGCTAATGGGACAGGACCACCACAGAACTGGAGTCAAGAGATCATCAACATCTTGTCAAACAGAAAGTTCCCAGCCACAGCCAAGAGGGATACATGTTTCCAGAGCAAACAGATGACAGACAGCATCCCACAACGCCTGTCTGCCTCGGAAGACTTCCCCAAGAGCCAACCGACGTCCAATTGTCAGCTGGAAGCAGTTCTTGAGGGGAACGACGCCCCTAGTCCCATCTACCTGCTTTTTTTATAATAAGCGAAAGTCTGGGATGTAAGGATTCTGTCCTTAATTACGTCATCAGCCTGCAACGGCATCCCAGCCTAAAAAGCGGGTGGGCCCTCTATGTGTCCCTCTCTTTCCTTTCTGCTCCTTCCTTCCATCTGCCTCTCTCTCTCTCCTCCCTCCCTCTCTCTCTCTCCCCCTCTCTCCCAATAAAGCTCTAAAAAGGTAACCATGGCCTGTGATTCTTCCGATCAGCACTCTCCTGCTGGCATGGCCGCCACGGGCTGTGGCCAGCCACGAGCAGTGCGCCGTTTAACCAACAGTGTCTGCTGAGTTTCTTTTGCTAACCTTCCCTCAGCCCAGCATTCTAAACAAAAAAGCAGACCTGAATCATGGAGATGTTAAAGGTTAAAATTCTTGTAATCTGCAGCACGTGGTTGATTCAACAAGCAAAAGAAATGCCACAGAACCAGGCAGTTGAATTGGATTCTAGGAACCCACACGCTGGAAGGAGAGAACCATCTCTACACATTGTCTTCTGATAGCCACACGCAAACCGTGGAGTGTGCGCAGTACCGCATGCGTGCATGTGTGCCCCCTTCCCCCACAAAGCAAATAAATAAAATGTAAATTAAAAACAACATTTTAGCCAGGCATGGTGGCACACCCCTTTAATCCCAGTAGTCAGGTGGCAGGTAGATCTTTGATTTTGAGACCAACCTGTCCTACACAGCAAGTTCCAGACCAGCCATGGCTAAATAGTGAGACCCTTGCCTTAAAAAAAAAAAAAAGAAAACTTAGAATTTGTAATCCTGTTATGCCCAGATCACAGAGACCCCCCAAAAGACCACCACGGAGACCGAATCCCATATGTAAAAGCAAAGAGCCTTTATTCAAGCTCTGGGGCTCAGTCCCTCTGTCTGTCCACACAGTGGTGAGAGCAGAGAGCCCTGAGCTCAGGTGGGGCAGAGTTTTTATCATAGCAGAGGTTGGGGTGAGGGGATTTCCAGGGTCCAGGACCCTGATTGGTTGACAATTATCTACGGGTATCTGTAAAACCAAAAATAGGTGTGTGCTAGACTCAAGGACATCTGGCCCCCTTATCTAATGGTTGGAATGTTTGGGATGTCAGGTACTTCCTCACCCCTGCATAGATCCCTGGGTGGTATCAGCTTAAGGCCTTTCCTGGATCTGGGTGTTGCCTGCCAGTAAGCCGGTCACAGAAGCTGTGTCTAGGCCCCTAAGCCTGTCATGGCTGCTGTGTGGTCAAGCTATAATTTGGGGTCCCTTCACAATCCCAGCACTGGGGAAGCAGAAACAGCTGGAACCCTGGGGATTCTTAGCCAGACACCTAGACTAAGAACTACCGGGTCCTAGGGGATATCTACATTCATAAGTACATATAAACCACGGCAGATCCAGGTGTGGAGGCACACACCTTTAATCCCAGTACTCAAAGGCAGGTGAGTTCTGGGCTAGGCAGGGAGATATCATGAAAGTCCGTCTCAAAAAAGCAAAAAGACACACACACAAATGCTGGGCTTATAGGTGCACCCATTGCTCCTGGCAAGATTCATTGTGTTACAAGGAATGTTTAGTACCCACCAAATGCCGGGTGCACGCCTTTAATCCCAGCACTCGGGAGGCAGAGCCAGACAGATCTCTGAGTTCGAGGCCAGCCTGGTCTACAAAGCGAGTTCCAGGAAAGGCGCAAAGCTACACAGAGAAACCCTGTCTCAATAAATAAATAAATAAATAAATACCCCACCAAATGTTCAGTAAATGCTTTAAATCAGTAGGCAATTAATTATTCCGACAATGTACTCCATTTAGTTAACCCAACCAAGCATTCCTTACAATGTGTTTCCTTGTTCTATTCACTTTTTCTGGTGCTAAGATTAAAGCTAGGGCCTTGGTATGCACTCCACTAACTGAGACAAAATCCCCACTTCCTCTTTCTAAATAGTTCCCTAAGCAATGGGGGTCCTTCCTCCCTCCTCACAGCAAACCTGGTCCCCCAGTACTCTCACTAAGACACTGCACACTGGACATGCTGGCCTCTGCCACCAATCTGTGAACCTGGAATCTGTGACCACAGGAACTCCAAAGTGCTAGATCTGGAGATGGGACACAGGAGAGAGGTTCACTTTCCCAAGGACTGAGAGTACTGCGTGGGGGCTGATAAAAGGGAGAGCCGGTGCAGCAGCGTGGAGTCTGTCCCCATGAGTGGCTCTGAGGTGGACTTGAGCCTGGGCTAGCTGGGATATTGGGAAGGGACAGGTGGCTCAACTCAGAGGCAGCCTTAGATCAGACAGCCCAGCATGCGCCTTACTGGGTCTGGGAGTCCCTGTAGGCCTCATGGCAGGAGGGATCCTTTGGATCTCAGAGTTTTACGGTGCTAGAGCTCATTGGGAGCGCTTTAGACAGCAGTTCCCAGGAGTGCCACCCATGGGGCGATCAGCGCCCCAGGCAAATGAGAGGGAATGGTGTGGAATGAATGTACCATGCTAGAGAGTGTGTCCCAGGTGTGCTGGCTGGTGCAGACTGAAGTCTGCAGAAGAGGTGAATGCTCACGCGCTGCACCGGGTCCAGCTCAATTCCACAAGTCCCTTTTCCCGGAGGGGCGTGGCCTGTGTGCGGGACCGCCTCCAGCCCGCCCCTCGGCGCGCGGGACTCGCGGGTTAGCAGCCGGCCGGTTGAGGTCAGAGGAGGCGGGCAACGCGTCCAAAACCAGCGCCTGCGCGTGCTCAAGGCAACCAGGAGCAGAGACCGAGTGTGCGGCTTGGGTAGCCGGATTCCGTGACACCACCCGAGCCACGCGCCACCACGTCCTGCCCGGCATGGAGGGCGAGTGCCGGGTGCTCTCCATCCAGAGCCATGTCGTCCGAGGCTACGTGGGCAACCGGGCCGCCATGTTCCCGCTGCAGGTACGCGCTTCGCCGCTTATGTAACCCGGGTTGCTGGGGAGTCCGCTGGATCGCGGCGTAGCCTCCCCGGACCGATGACCTTGGTCCCCCTTGCAGCCACCCTCAGTTCCCCATTGCGAGCTGAGCGTGCTGTGGACAGAGCCTGACGCACGCAGGCGGTGGGCGTGGAGTACCCTGGGGAGCCCACAGTAGGGTGGTGCAGGTGGCACGAAGCCCCCTACTCGGCAGTGGCGCACTCCGTCCCTGCTGCTTCCGGCTGCCTGGCCAGCCGTGGGCGGGGGCTCCCCGAGGCGATGAAATGCTGAGCTGGGAGGATACTGCCCTACGGAAGCGTGGACAGCCTTTTGATAGAATCATTGGCGGGTGATTGCTCGCTCCCTGCTGAAATCCAAGTTCTGCCTCTTTCCACCCTGTGAGCTTGGACCAAGGAGGAGGCTAGGCCACCACTTTGGGTTCGACCACTCCTAGGGTGATCTGTCATCCACTGGGGTCGGGCTGGAACCGCCCTGTGCCTCCCGCAGGCCTGCTTCTGTCTTAAGAGACAACACAGTTTGCTGACTTTTGCTTTGGAAGCAACCTGTTAATAGGGCTGTAGCCTTGTCGTCTCCCCAGAGCCTCTTTCCCATGTGGTGTGTAATGAATGAGGCTGGCTCTGATCATTTCTGGCCGGTGGTGCTCCCTGCTTGTGACCCAGTGGCCCTAGGAGGGAACCAGGCTGCAGAGGGTATTAGCATGGGGGTCAGAGACAATGTCAGAGTGATTGGCAATTCCTTGCCTGGCTGGTCCAGCAGGAAGATTGGGCTGACCTGGCCAGCCAGGTGGTGGCCTCCTTCACTGTACCTCTTTGGTTGGAGGTGGTGGCCTCCTTCACTGTACCTCTTTGGCTGGTTACTGAGTGATGTGGCAGGTCCCTGTACCCCTTCAGCTCATGTCCAGTCAATGCACTGACTCCTTGGGAACATTAAAAAGCAGTACCTGGCTACCACCATCCTTCAGGAAGGACCTGGAAGGAAGACATGTGGCCCAGGGCAGTTTCTAAGGACAATCTGAGGGTTGTCCTGAGGCAGGCATGCTTGGCAGACAAAATAGGGCAAATGGTTGTGGGTGTACAGTACAGGGTTCAAGTCCTTAGGCAGAGGGCGGTTGCTGAGTTTTGAGTCCCTATTGATCGATAAGCAATTCTTCACACTCATTCTTTTTTGTTTGTTTGTTTTTCGAGACAGGGTTTCTCTGTGTAGCTTTGCGCCTTTCCTGGAACTCCTTCTGTAGCTCAGGCTGGCCTTGAACTCACAGAGATCCGCCTGCCTCTGCCTCTCATGTGCTGGGATTAAAGGCGTGTGCCACCACCGCCGGCTGCTTCATGCTCTTAACTATTGCTTTCTAGGTTATGGGTGGGTAGCAAGGTCACTGAGGTGAGACTGTACTTCGGAGCAAGGGGATACAGTCACTGAAGCAGGGAAGCCGGGGAGGGTGGAGCCAGGCTGAGCTCCAAGAAGCCCCCTCACCTTGGGCAGAGGTGTGCAGGGCTCCTGGGGCCGTGTCCTGCATCCCTTGCCTCTTCCACTTGGTGCTGCTCTTCCTTCCCTGGGTCCTCTGTCCCTGGCTCCCCTGGACCTCTGTCCTCTAGACTGCACCAAGGGTCAGCTGCCTCATTCGGGCTGAAGACATGGTGTCCAGCTGCTCAAGAGAGGAGGCTCTTCTTAGCTCCCCTCCAGAGAGGAGCTTAAGGACCTGGGGACTCCCTCGAGGTCCCTGTTGGCATTTTGCTGCTCACCATACCTCTGTGCACCCCTGGATAGGGAGAAGCAATGAATTGGGTAGGGAGGACACATCCAACATGGAGAGCTTTAGTGAGCACCTGTGGGGCTGGCCCTGTCAGAGTCTGTGGTGGCTGGGGCCGGCACTACCCAGTCTTTGAGCAGCTGTTCCAAGAGGAACACCCCTCAGGTCCAGAGCTGTTCTCTGTGGAGGCGGGTGTGTGTGTGTGTGTGTGTGTTCTTACTGTACAATCTGGAGTACAAAGTCTCATTGACATGGCTGAATATGGGGGCGAAAAGCTCAAAAGGGGGAGAGTGTAGTCTTGGGCTGGGGTCCCAGGATTTGTCCCAGTGCTGCTCCAAGAAGGCTACAGGCAGGAGGCTGGGGAGGTCTCTTGGGACTGACCCAGGTGACTGGAGGTTGTGCCATCAGGTGGCTGTCCAGTCATGCCAGAGCAATGGCTGGGGAAGTTTCTGGGCCTCCCCTGTAGACCTGGCACCAAGCTG